CCCCCGGAAAAAAAAGTTTTTTTTTTTTTTTTTTTTTTTTTTTTTCGGTATGCGGGCCTCTCACTGTTGTGGTCTCTCCCATTGCGGAGTACAGGCTCCAGACGTGCAGGCTCAGGGGCCATGGCTCACGGGCCCAGCCGCTCCGCGGCATGTGGGATCTTCCCGGACCGGGGCAAGACCCCGTGTCCCCTGCATCGGCAGGCGGACTCTCAACCACTGCGCCACCAGGGAAGCCCCTGTTAGACTCTTCTTAATGCTGCAGGGCATGCGGTAGAGCGATCTGGAGCTTTTCTTGACTTGTTGGTTATGATCTCAGCTGCATGACTGCTCCACCTTTTTCATTACTTCAGCTGATGACTCATCTCTTAATTTTTCTCCCAACATCAACAAAATGAAATAGCAGATTAAAGAAACAAATGAAAGAAAAAAAAATATTTGTGATCTAACACAGCCTTAGCCTTGCTGTGAATACTCAGGTGCTAATTTAAACTTTCCTCCAAGGACGAACAGAGATCAAGTTTATAGTTGACATGTTCTGTGTTCAAGGCAACCCAGAAAATTACATACCTAAAGCTACTGAAAGGATATTTAAAAAGCTGACCAGAGCAGGATGAGAATTGCCACTTCAAAAGAACAGTGATGAAACTCACCTTCAGAAAGTGTTCCAAACTTTGGTAAAAGCTGTTCTGTGAAACTATCCTTCTTTACAAGTCTACATTTTTGCTCAGTGTACCAGAGAGATTGTTCTGTTTTTACTAAACCAAGCTCTATTCAACAGTGCTCTGTACCAGAGAGACTACGATCTATGAAAAAACAAAGTCCAAAGTCATTATGCAGTTAAAGGGGAGAGCATAAAAGTCCTTTGGCCATCAAAAATGTGAACAGAAACAGCTAGTAAGGATGTGCTTTCCCAGGGTATTTTTCTCCATTGATCATGTAAGGATTCATCAACCATTTCATCATAGGGGAAAAGCTGATGAATCTAGATTTATGAGTGAACATTCGTGCTGGGAACAGATAAAATCAGCAATCCAGGAGACTCAGCAGGAGGGAGTGGGGACTTGAAGGAAGACTCAAAGAAAAATCTCTCAAGTGAATCAGGGCACTACTTAGTGTAAATCCAGGGTTGGCTTTTATCCTTCACCCTGGCGCTTCCTGCTAAACTTTTGGAAATTAGCCAGTGTTGTAATTAACCCTACCCCCGCCTCTCAGCTTTTTTTAGGTAAGAAAGAGAGTAAAATCCCCATCTTTTTTCAATGGTGAGGTTACTGCAAATAACTTAAAGCCCTTCTTTCCTCTAAGACTGAGCATTTTGGGAAGTATGCATGGTGGCTGGGTGCTCATGGGCAACAGTTAGGGTTCAGATTCCTCTCTTTCTCCCTCTAAGTGAAGGCTGCAGACCAGGCACCCAGGGTGGCTCCTACTAAATGAGAGGGGTGGTGGTGGCACTGCCACACGTGGGCCCATCACCTCTGCCTTCATGGTCCTCCCAGAGACTTCATTTCTTCCACTTGTAGATTCCTAGGAGTCCACCAAAATTCTGTCTCTAAATCAAGCCCTATCCTCTGTGATTAGTAATTTCTACAACATGGAAATACTATTTTACTGTTAAAGTACATAAATTTCTTTTTTTTACACTGAATTATAGTTGATTTACAATGTTGTGTTAATTTCTACTGTACAACAAAGTGATTCAGTTATACATACATATATATATATATATATATATATATATATTCTCTTTTATATTCTTTTCCATTATGGTTTATCACAGGATATCGAATATAGTTCCCTGTGCTATACAGTAGGACCTTGTTTATCCATTCTGTATGTACTAGTTTGCATCTGCTAACCCCAAACTCCCAATCCGACCCTCCCCCACCTCCCCTGCCCTTGGCAACCACAATTCTGCTCTCTGTGTCTGTAGTCTGTTTCTGTTTTGTAGATAAGTTCATTTGTGTTATATTTTAGATTCCACATATAAGTGGTATCACATGGCATTTGTCTTTCTCTTTCTGACTTACTTCACTTAGTATGAGAATCTCTAGGTCCATCCATGTTGCTGCAAATGGCATTATTTCATTCTTTTTTATGGCTGAGTAATATTCCACCGTATATAAAATACATAAATTTCTTTAGTTGACTCTCCAAAATGAATAAAAATGTGCTCCTTTTGTCAGAAAATTCCATTATTTTGCATTACCAATATATTCTTCACTTTAAAAATGTTTCCCCCCCCCCACAAAAAAAAGTTTCCCACATCTGCCCATTTCAACATTGACTGGCACACTCCTGCCTTTCCTTCAGGTCTTTGTCGAAACTTTGCTTCCTCCTTGATCCTCTGGTTAGGTTAGTCCCCTCTGTCATATAACCTCACTCATGACACTGTTCATTTCTCACACTCATTGCTCTTGTAACAGTGGTGCTTTCTTTTTTTCTTTTTCTCTTTTGGCTGCGTTGCATCTTCACTGCTGCGTGTGGGCTTTCTCTAGTTGCAGCAAGCGGGGGCTACTCTTTGTTGCAATGTGTGGACTTCTTATTGCGGTGGCTTCTCTTGTTGCAGAGCTCGGGCTCTAGGCACATGGGCTTCAGTAGTTGCAGCACGAGGGCTCAGTAGTTGCGGCATTTGGGCCCTAGAGTGCAGGCTCAGTAGTTGTGGCACACGGGCTTAGCTGTTCTGCAGCATGTGGGATCTTCCTGGACCAGTGACCAACCCGTGTCCCCTGCATTGATAGGCGGATTCTTAACCACTGCACCACCAGGGAAGTCCCAACAGTGGTGCTTTCTTTCCCCCACTGGACTGCAAGCTACTTGGGCTACAGGGCAGTGCCTGTGTCATTTGCCATTGCACCCTCCACAAATAGCATGGTGTCTGGCATCTATTGGGCTGTCAATCTAAATAGCTAAATGAACTTCAGTCTCCCTTTAATTAATGATTATCTTTAGCACTTCTGCATATTATAACCAAGAATTGCTATACCCACAAACTTTACGGGAATATAGAACTGTGCTGTGATAGTAATACCTGTTATTGTATAACATTGTGCAGGTTACAGACCTCTATTTTATTCATTATTTTATTCCATTCTTACAATTGCATTGTGAGGTAAGTAGGGTGGGCATTGCTGTCTTTTTTTTTTAAACTTTTTATTTCATATTGGAGTATAGCTGATTAACAATGTTGTGTTAGTTTCAGTTGTACAACAAAGTGATTCAGTTATACACATACGTGTATCTATTCTTTTTCAAATTCTTTCCCCAATTAGGTTGTTACATAATATTGAGCAGAGTTCCCTGTGTTGTACAGTAGGTCCTTGTTGGTTATCCATTCACACCAGTTAGAATGGCCATCATCAAAAAATCCACAAACAATAAATGCTGGAGAGGGTGTGGAGAGAAGGAAACCCTCTTGCACTGTTGGTGGGAACGTAAATTGGTTCAGCCACTATGGAGAACAGTATGGAGGTTCCTTAAGAAACTAAAAACAGTGGCGTGAAGAAACCGAACCTCAGGCAATTTTCCTCCACAGTAAGTGGTGAACAAAGACTCACTTCCAGGGCCTGTGCTGTTCCATGTCACCAGACTACCTAATGGTTAGAAAGGCCTTCTACCACTGTTTACTTCCAGAAACTTGATTTTACCTTTTAATCCAATTAATTTACAGTTGGGTCATTTTCTCTTTCTTCCCAATCAGTTCCACCAAGCCCCTGGCACAAAGTTCAAACCAGGGGCCTGCAGATAGTCTGAAACTCCACTCTGCTCAGTGTGGATTTTCCACCCTGCCCCCAAACATATGCTACCAACGTCAGTGTCATTTCCTGACCCTACACCAATGTGTGGCACCATGCCTCCACATAAAGGGCCCTCAACACAGCCTTTGTTGGGAGTTCATACCAGTTTTCTATCACAAAGTGAACGGGGAGACCATCTACCATCAGAAGGCCCTGTAGAAATAGCAGCAAAAAGGGACGTCTGTGACTGAATGCCCATCAGAAGGCTCTTGGTGACTGAATTTCCACTGATCGGTATACATGTTGCCTTTGCAATCCTGTTACTTGTCTGTGTCATGTTACTATGCGTGGACATAGGTGTTACTGAAATACAATGTCTCATGGTTACTTTTTGGTTTCATTTCAATGAACGAGGCTGGGGAGCTCCTGAAGACTGTCATGGTTTGTGCGTATTTAAGTTATTATCGCAACCTCCTTAAGAAATCGCTTTGATAGTCGATTGCTGCTTTACCTGAGCTTGGCTTGGTTAGGACTGACAGATGACTCCAACCTCCTCTTTTGCCTCTACTGAAGGTTCTCCAGGTGCCCTCCTCACTCCCCATGATGATTTTTTACAACCTGTAGCTTCTGTGTCCTTTAAATATAGTAGGATCCCGTGGCAACACAGGATTCACATACAGAGTTCGTCTCTTTCCTGTTGCTTTGTATCCCTGTTATGCAGCATGTGTGCAATATGTCTTGTTTGCAAAGTAGCTTCTATTGCCTTTTTAAATTAAGGGACTTGGATTGGTCTATAATTTGCTAGCAATTATAGTATAAATTAAACTGGATAAAATAGTTTTTAATAACCATTAACATGTTGATTACATTTAATGTATCACACATATTTATACATTAGAACTCAGAGAGTTAAATGAAACCTGTTCCCTATCAGTTTTTCATTTTATTATTCACTACTGAAGAATAATCAAAGAAAATTATTTGGCTCCTGAAGTGATTGGATGTGAAAAGCCAAGTGTGAAGGAAACCAACTTACACTCTACTTCTGTACTACCTTTGAAAGACCATTATTACTTCTCATGGGCAGTAGAGAAATGAATCGGTGGCTCTATCGATGCAATGGGGCAGTCACTTTAGTCCTAATCTTCCCTCTCTTCCATTCTGGGGAAGTACAAATTCACCAAATAATGTGTATTTTTTAGCGGATATCAAAGGAATACTTCTTTGATAATGAACCTCGTGTTTTTCTTGCTTTCACAGTAATAAACGACTGGTGGCCTTAGTGCCCATGCCCAGTGACCCTCCATTTAATACCCGAAGAGCCTACACCAGTGAGGATGAAGCCTGGAAGTCGTATTTGGAGAACCCCCTGACGGCGGCCACCAAGGCGATGATGAGTATCAACGGTGATGAGGACAGTGCTGCCGCCCTTGGCCTGCTGTATGACTACTACAAGGTAGGACCTGAAGCCCCGCCTCCCTCCACTTTCTGCCTCCAGGGCCTGCCCTCTCTAGTGGGCAGAGGGGCCAGATTCTTCATCCCAGGCCAGAGAATGAATGGCATTGCCACACTCGCTCTGGAATTCAGCCTCTTCCTGTTCTCATTGCGTCTCTGCTTTCCCATCTATAAAGCACGACTTTACCACCCACCCCACCACGAGGGAGTTTCCATTTTAGGATAATTATTTCTGTGCCCTCTGTTTACAAGCATACATATTATCTACATTTAATTTCTACTTCATATCATATTGCAAATCCTTCTTTGCTGCCATTTTTACTTTATGATTTTTGGTGAATAAAGAATATTACATTGTGTGGCTGTACCATAATTTAGTCATGCTCAGTTTGGGGCATTTAGGTTGCTTTTATCTTTTCTTATTTTATTTTTTAATTAAGTAATGAGAACCTTTAAAAAAATTTTTTTTTAATTTAATTTTTTGACTGTGCCACACAGCTTGCAGGATCTTAGTTCCCCAAGCAGGGATTGAACCCGGGCCCGTGGCAGTGAAAGCGCTGAGTCCTAACCACTGGACCACCAGGGAGCTCCCTAGGTTGCTTTTAGATTTTCCATTTAATAAGAAACATCAGGGTTTCTAGATTTTTCAGTTTTGTAAGGAATGCGCCAGTGAATACTTTAGTGGTAGGCTTTTGCAGCAATTCCAAAATCGAACTGTCTCCATTTGTTTCAATGAGTACTCAATATTTATTTTGAAAAACCCTTAAAACAAAGTGAATGTAATTCGCTTGCATTACAAAAATACCTGCCATAGTTACTTTCAAAATAGTATTTCAGGAAATCAAACAACAAACAATGGTCTGCCTCAACTATAAAGGACTATATCTGGTATGACCTGCTCCCTTAGAACCAATGAAGTGTAAAAAATCAACAGGTATTTACTGAATGAGGATATTTATTGCCTGACTTGATTGTAAACACTGTGACCTTATGCTGGTATTGGCACAAAGGTGAGAATGGCCGTGTTTATTTTGCTGGTTGGGCACAGTGAACTCTTTATTTTGGAATAAGAACTAAATCCCCCTCTTCCCCTCTCCCTCCATCATGAGGAAATCACCCAAGAGGAATCATTTTTCTTTTGGTAAGCACCAGTCTCAGCTTCCTGTTTCCTCCCTGCTTCCCAGTTCCTGATTCCTCCCAGTGGTCTCACTTCTGCAAGTTGTGTTGTCCCCTGGGTCTCTCCTAAACCAGGGTTTTTGTGCTTTACAACGATCTCCCACCACCATTGACTCTGGCACTGCCCCCGGGCCTATTTCTTTCACCAAAGTTCTCTAAAATTACTCATTCCTTTTCCAGCTTCTTCCCATTTTCTCTCTTAGAACACTCAGGAGGGCTCCCTGCATGGGGAAAAGAATGAAAGCCAAGCCAAGTTGTGCTTATTTAAGATGAAACACGAGGTATGAGTAACTGATAGGTTGGCCTATCCAGGCTACTTTAAATGAGGATATTATTAACTCAAATAAATGCATTTTTTATGGTTGGAAAGTGCTGGAGAAATATGGGAAAGGCATTCCATTGGTACCCTTGCCAGTCTAGGCTGATTTTTTTCCCCTTTACCAACGGAGCTGGAGTTGGCTGATTTCGACAGCTCTCTTGTGAAGCTGTACAACTCCCAACACGTCTCCTGACATAGCAAGAAGGGGCTTTAACTTTGGGAATCGGGGTCCAGATGAAAGGATATTTTAGGGTCTAACCTCCATTTCATGTAAGCAGGGCAGTTTCCTACAATGAATGGGAATCGCCTGAAAAAAAATGAGCCTAAAAACAAAGATGGTTTCTTGGCAGGCTTTCCTTTCTTCCTTTCTTTGCTTGTGGTTGTTTTATATATGTTAATCCTTTTTGACTAAAGAGCTTATTTGAAACACACAAGGATGAATTCCAAACGTTTTGGAGTCAAAATTTTCAGAATGTATTGAGGATGGTATAGAAACACAGAACTTATCATGTTACAGGCTATTTCTTGAGGGTTCAGCTTTATTGGACTTTTGTGTTAGTATGTAATGTTCAGAAATGGTCTCATCCCTAGAAAAGAATCACAAAGCAATTTTCCTTTATTATAAAAAATAGTTAAAACTTGACACCTTTTTAAAAAATATCTTTATTGGAGTATAATTGCTTTACAGTGTTGTGTTAGTTTCTGCTGTACAACAAAGTGAATCAGCTGTATGTATACTTATATCCCCATATCTCCTCCCTCTTGAGCCTCCCTCCCACCCTGCCTATCCCACCCCTCAAGATGATCACAAAGCACCGAGCTGATCTCCCTGTGCTATGCAGCAGCTTCCCGCTAGCCATCCATTATACATTTGGTGGCGTATATATGTCAATGCTACTCTCTCACTTCGTCCCCTCTTCTTCCCCTGCTGTGAAAAGTTGATACCTTTATCAATCTTTAAAATCTAGTAACATATTAAAGTGACCCTGATTTAATCACTTGGGTCATTACAACATTTTTTGGTAACTTTTATAACTATGTTAAACAAATACGTTAGTTAATGCTTTTATAAGACTTTGAAGAAATACATTAAGATACACTTTGAAAAAATATATTTTTCTTATTTTTTAAAAGTAGATTTTACTACTGTGAAATGGATATAATTTCAGGTATCTGTATTAGATGGCAATTCTTTTGTATTAATGAAAAAGAGAAACACACCTTGAAACAAAAATCATTAGTAATTTAGGAAAGCAACGTATTTTATTTCCCACAGGTTCAGAGGATAAAGTATTAGTAAATATGGTACCTGGATTACCTCTCCTCTTGCACATTTTTAATATTTAGAGGAAAGTTGAAATACTGCTTTCTGCAAATATTTTGTAATGCAGAGTAGAGAGTTTACATAAAACTCAATTTGAGGATGTGGAGAAAAAGGAACCCTTTATACTGTTGACGGGAATGTAAGTTGGTGCATCCGCTATGGAAGACAGTATGGCGGTTTCTCAAAAAACTAAAAATAGAACCACCATATGACCCAGAGGTTCCACTCCTGGATATATATCTGAAAAAACTGAAAACACTAATTTGAAAAGATACATCCACCCCAGTGTTCATAGCAGCACTATTTACAATAGCCAAGATATGGAAGCAACCCAAGTGTCCATCAGCTGACAAATGGATAAAGATGAGGTATATAAATACAATAGAGTACTACTCAGCCATAAAAAAAAATGAAATTTTGTCACCTGCAACATCATGGATGGACTTGGAGGGTATTATGCTAAGTGAAATGTCAGAGAAAGACAAACACTGTATGATATCACTTATATGTGGAATCTAAAAAATGGAAACAAACTAGTCAATATAACAAAACAGAAACAGACTTAAATATGTAGAGAACAAACTAGTGGTTACCAGTGGAGAGAGGGGAGAGGGGGAGGGGCAAGATAGGGGTAGGGGATTAGAGGTACAAGCTACTACGTATAAAATAAATAAGTTACAAGGATATATTGTACAATGCAGGGAATATAGCCAATATTTTATAATAACTATAAATGGAATATAACCTTTAAAAATTGAGAATCTCGATGTTGGACACCTGAAATCTTTTTTTTTCTTTCTTTTCTTTTTTTTGCGGTACGCGGGCCTCTCACCGTTGCGGCCTCTCCTGTTGCGGAGCACAGGCTCCGGATGCGCAGGCCCAGCAGCCATGGCTCACAGGCCTAGCCGCCCCGCGGCATGTGGGATCCTCCCGGACCGGGGCACGAACCCGCGTCCCCTGCATCGGCAGGCGGACTCTCAACCGTTGCGCCACCAGGGAAGCCTGGACACCTGAAATTTATATAACATCGTACATCAACCATACCTCAATTTATTTATTTATTCATTTATTTATTTTTGGCTGCGTTGGGCCTTCGTTGATGAGCGAAGGCTTTCTCTAGTTGCGGCGAGGGGGAGCTACTCTTCCTTGCGGTGTGCGGGCTTCTCACTGCTGTGGCTTCTCTTGTGGAGCACGGGCTCTAGGCGCACGGACTTCAGTAGTTGTGGCATGTGGGCTCAGCAGTTGTGGTTCACAGGCTCTAGAGCACAGGCTCAGTAGTTGTGGTGCATGGGCTTAGTTGTTCTGAGGCATGCGGTATCTTCCTGGACCAGGGCTTGAACTCATGTCCCCTGCGTTGGCAAATGGCTTCCTAACCACTGCGCCACCAGGGAAGTCCTGGTTTTTATGTATTTTAATGATTTAAATTCACATTATCTAGATGAATGAGTGAATAAGTGATTTAATAAATACTCATAAGCTGTTGAAATATTCATAAGCTGTTAAAATCAGCTTTTTATTTTTGGCTTATACATATACATTATAGAAAATGCAGGGAAGCTTAAAGAAGAAAGTGAAATTTCCTGTAATTTTTCTATCATATTATTTGGCATCATTTTCTCCATCACTGAAGGATTTTGAACATAAGCCTGGTAGATGGAGAGATGATTTATACATATTACAGCAACAGCGGCAGCAGCAGGGAGGTGGGTTATGAGCAGAGAATCCAGTGAACAGTTCGTTGCAATAGTCCAGATAAAAAATGATAAAGCCCTAAAGTAAGACATGATGGTAGCTGTTCCTGGGTCAGCATTTGTGAGGTTCTCCCTGAATCAGCCACTCCGTTTAGTTAGCCATACTGCATAAAGACAAAGCAGTATGTTCAAGAAATCACTGAGTATTTGTTTGAATAAAAGCTGGCAACTGGGGCTTCCCTGGTGGCACGGTGGTTGAGAGTCCGCCTGCCGATGCAGGGGACACGGG